CTCTCTCCCACCCTCCCTCCCTCTCTCCCTCCCCCCTCATAAAATTATAGGCTGCTGTTGGAATTGATACTCAGATAACTTACCACAAAGACAAAAGCACAATGCTTCTTGGTGAAGCCAGAAAACAGCAAGGAAATGCCAATGCTAGTAAATATAATCCTTTCTCTTGATTCATACGTTTCTCTTACACTAGAAAAGCTTTGTAATAAAGAGCATCCCACAAAAGAAAAATGTTGACATAAGCAATTTAATCATGATCCCCCTACAGTGGGTTCTGCAATTTAAAATCTTGAATATTTGAAGCCCAATAAAGTCTGTTCTAATAAAAATACATTACTCTATCCAAGTTACATCTTTTTTTATTCTGTATAAATAACACTAAGAAATATAGACTACGATCGGGCCAGATGAAAGATGTACAGTATGTTTATAGTACTTTTGCAGCAGTAGAAAATAATGGGGCTTGCTGGAAGCCCAATCAAATGCTTTCACATTTCTGATGTTTACTTTAAAAGCATGCAAACTATACTTTCTTTTTTAAAACAAAATTTTGAAAAACATTTTAGATTGTTTAATGAAGAGCCAAGACTTGCTTTGGAAGTCACCGAAAAAAATTGTATTATCTAAAACTTAGTATAGACCAGGAGTCAGCAAACGTAAACACTCAAATTTGGACCCATTTCCCACAGAAAAGAAAACACTAGGAGCCACAAAGGTCCTAACCGGAAGCCCTCTGTTCAATTCTGGAGCTGACCGGAAGTTCCGTTCCCCTACTATAGAGTCTCCTCTTAGCACGGCATACTTTTTCCTCTACTTGTCATAACTGAAAGCCCTATCAATTGTAGAGAAAACTAGAAAATCCACTCCTTGCCATAGAATCTTCTCCTGGCGCACTGTGCTTCTCCCCCCACCCCCCCAGGAAGCTCCTCTCAAAATTGTGGCACCAACCGGTGACGGAGCTGCAGCAGAGGGAAGAAAGAGCCACACGTGGCTCCAGAGCCACAGTTTGCTGATCCCTGGTATAGACCATCAAATAAGTCCCAATGTTATTATATGGTGATAAGAATCCCTTAGAGTGATGTCTTTCTGATGCATTATTATTATAATTAGATAAATGCCTTTGCCACTCATTGCCAAAAGCTTTTTGATATTTTGTTTCTTCTACTTTGCAGATGTTTTTAATGTTGAAGAAACAGGCAGAGAGATTAATGAAACACTTGACAAGAAGAATGATGTTAAAGGCCGTTTCATGAAAGTCCTCAAAAAAATGCACATATCAGAGCAAGGTCAGGAAATAAACTGTACAAAATTGCAATCAAATGATTCTGATTAAAGGATAAATCTTTACAAGGATCTTCTTAAGTAATGTTGAGGTAGAAAGTAAATCAAATCTTACCTGGCTAATACTCATCAGCAGTTGAATTGACTATTTGGTTGTGCTTTGAAGGTGATGTGAAAAAGTCCCTCAGATTTCACAGGTGTGTGAGAATAGCACCTCTCTATTATTCATTAAAGCAGCTCAATTTATTTCAGCTTTCCACAGAAGCCTGAAAATAAAAGCCATTGTTGTTTTAAAAATCACATCAGCTATAATTAATTGATTCCTTAGATTAGTGATGTCATTTTTTTTCAGGTTGATGTGTAAACCAAAAAAAAAAACACATGGGTTACTTGAATGAAAGTTCCTAATCACACAGACAAAAACTTTATTTCAGTCATTGACAAATAAAAATACATTCAGTAAAGCAAAGTTAACCCCTAACATGAATGACAGTTGGTAACCATTTGTCAGCAAAGCTTTACAGAATATAGCAGAATTTTGCTAACTTTGGAGAGATACATTTATCCTGTGTAACAAATAATGCAAATAAAAATTATCAGTGCCCAAGAAATTTAGACAGAAAGAATAATCAACTAGGCAAATGACCCTGTAGAACTGACAAGATAATACAAACATGGGCTATTGCTTCCAAGGCACCTATGTCACAGGAGAAGTTTCCAGCCAGTTTGAAGAGCATACCACCCTAATATATACTGTATATCCATCTCGAACATGGATGTCAAACTTGCGGCATCACATTGCTGTCACATGACATTTTGTGACATTTTTTTCCTTCAAGGAGCTGGGGTGAGTGTGGCCCGTGTGTCACGCATCCACCCCATGGGCCGCCAGTTTGACACCACTCATCTAGAATGTTCTTGCTATTTACTACTAAAGTACCCACCTAAGATTAATGGCTACTTATTACATTTAAAGAACTAATTGAAAGAGTTCTATCAAAGAATACAATAAATAGATTTACCATCACTTGTGCCTGCTACATGCACCCAGTGACACAGTTCTATATTATGGTAAATCAATTTCCTACAATTCACTCTAAATAAATTATTTACATATTTAGATTACAAATCTGTGTTTATTTGAGGAAGAGCACTAATGAAAGGAAGTTACATGGTTTTATATAAAAAAGACATGATCATTATTTCCTCATCACAGAACTTTATGTTTACAGATCACACGAAGCAGTTTGAGCAATTGCAAGCTATTGCTACTCAAGCTAAAGAAACAGCTGCAATCATAACCACCACCACAGATCCAATGGCTGAGAATGTGACAAAATGGTCAAAAGATCTGCGCAACTTTAAACCTGAAAGAGCAGCTTATGAACGGGCCACAGTCACAACTAGGGATACAGGTAATGTGAAAGGATATGTAATTGACATGTTCCTTGAAATCTACAGCTTCTGCTTTCTGTTTCAAGGATACTGATTTTGGATTGTGTAAAATTGAATTGCAAGAGTGGTTGTCAACGAAAGCGAGGAACATGGTAATGTAGTTAGGGCAAACATAGATCTTATGTCAAACTAATCTCCCAATTCATCAGCAATTATTGGTCAGGGGCTGTGGTTGGTTTTGCTCAAGACGGCACAATATGGATGTTCTGCCTTGGCAGATCACATTCAGCCTCTGAGTTATAGGGTCCCAATCCTTATTGTTAGAAATTCTGTTTTGTATAAAGTACCACAGAGCAAACAAAGAGTACAGTCACCATGTGCCTTACTGCTCAACTATATACTGTAATTATAACAGGAAACAGGAAAATGTACTTACAACAAAAGAGCATAGACTTTTATAAAAGTAGTTATTGTTTTAACACTTGATCAAACTGAGATTCCCTTAACTGCTTTGAATTTTACATTTTAAAAAAGAGATGGTGTTTAATAAAACATTGACTGAGGTTAATTAAGCTATTTCACAAGTAACTAACATTGGAAATTGTTCTGGACACACTCAATTATAGTGGGGAAAGTGATAACATTTCAACTGGATTTCTAAGATATACCATGGGTTGTGGTTAAAATAGTTACTTTAGTAAGACTGTACAGAAAGTAGACAAAAATATATGTATGTATCTGTGCCAGCAGATTCCTCCAGTGCTGAGGAATTTGTGTGTATGATCCCTTAAACAACCCAGTGGGTGGGCTCTGCATGGTTGGCTAACTTCCAGGGAAATCAAGATCTATATCATGTTCTTAAAGCAAACAACATTTAATAGGCTAGAATTGTAAGATGTTTGAAAACAAAGCTTCCATGCTCTATCATAGGAGCTCTGTTCCCCAATTTAGTTAAACAATCCACTCTCAAATCTTTCTAAAAACGCACTATCATAAAAGATAAAGAGATTGGTCCACACTGATCTTCTTGGATGCAAGGCTTTGGCTTCTATGTGTTATTTGCTAATTAGCCACTGTGCCATTGTTATTAATCATCATAATCTCTTTGCCTGTGATACGGAAACCAAGCAGTTGTCTTGTTTTGTTTTGAACACCAGTGAGGAGTCTCACAGAACTTGTCCCACAGCTTCTGGATAAGCTGCGCATAGTAGAAGAGAAAAGGGCAGCAAACAATGTGTCAGCCAGCATCCAGAGGGTCCGAGAACTCATTGCACAGACCAGGAGTGTGGCTAACAAGGTAAAGATGCTGCAAAAGAAATTGGGAGTTGGGGCCAGCAAGAGTAGAAACAAGGAGCTTGGAAATAAAGTACAAGTTTCATTAGCAGCCCAGCAAGAGAAATGGGCTGCAAGCAATCAATTACATGAGGAGGGAGAGAGAAAGAAATGTAGGATTTAAACCTTGAGATGTGCAGGTTGTGAAGTTGATCACCTTAGTTAGTAAAGCTGCTGTTATAGAACCATGTGTAGTCACACCAAGTCCTTGAGTTTCCACAGAGACTTTTCCAACATAGCTAGAATTCCTAGAGAGAGATGTATTGCAGTATGGCCCTTCTGAAAACTGAGTCAGAGACTTTGATACAGTACTTATAGCAAGGAGCCTAATGCTTTCCCTGAATCTCTTTTAGTTTCAGCTTTGATGTTGAATCATTTATTGCCAATGGGCCATTAACCAAAGGTTAACTATGAAGTTACTATTCTAGTCTAAGTGGCAGAATGGCTGACATACTATTGTTATAGAAGGCCTGAAGTTCAACACAAATAGCGTACAAATCAAGCTTTCATATTTGATGGGGTTCTTTTAAAAATAATCATTTTAAATCTGCACATGGAAAATTATCAAAGTAGTTTACTCTAGTACTTATTTATTTGTTGATATAAGGATATAAATATCCTATATGAGGTTCCAGAGAATCACAAATGGATTTTGCTTGCTATAAATATAAATACCAGTAAATAAATGAGTATTTTATTTATGAAAATGACCTCTTTCATTACCATTTTTCACTAATGAATCTGAGTTCTCGATATGTATACAAAACAAGGTCCTAGTTTATCCACAGGGCAAATGTATCTATAGAATACTGTTCTGGGCAATTCTGAATCTAACACATTGATTGTATGTTATATTTTAACACAACCCATAGTTTATTAATCTTTATAAATAATGTTAGCATTCTGCCAATTAAATAGTGCATTGAAATAAATGTATTGTAGTTTCTCATTTCTTCCCAAAGGGAGTCTTCCAAGATATGTCTAATCTTTCACTTGCATATTTCAACTTACAGGTTCAAGTGTCAATGACATTTGAAGGTCGCTCAGCAGTTGAAGTCAATCCTCATGTGAATGTAGATGACTTAAAGGCTTTCACATCTTTAAGTTTGTACATGAAGTTTTCTGAGGAAAATCCACAAAGAAAAAAGCCTCAAGATCAGTTCGTTTTGTATTTAGGAAACAAAAATGTATGTTCACCTGCTAAATGTATAGTGATTTCACATATATTTCACTGGGTTGTTGTTTTTTTCATCAAAATTTAAAAAAGGTGACAGTGAGTCAGATCCATCCCTCAGAATTTTACTGAAAAATGTCCACCAGCCTGTTTCCAACAATAATCTCTGGCTTTTTAATCCTGTCCATCAACCTTATCTGTTTTCATCTACTTCTTCTACTTCCCTCAGTCTTGCCAAACATTCTTGTAGATAAGCCTTCCATCCTTCCAAGGTGGGTAAAATGAGGATCCAGATTGTTGGGGGCAATATCCTGACTCTGCAAACCACTAAGAGAAGGTTGAAAAAGCACTGTGAAGCATTATAAAAGTCTAAGTGCTATTGCTATTGCTAAGTCAGTTCATGGATAAGCCAACCCTTGAATTTTTAACAAAATGCAATGAACCAGAGGTGGGTTCCTACCAGTTGAGATCGGTTCAGCCAAATAGATAGTAATTTGATGGCCTGGGTCACTGGAACCTGGGCCTGTCACGCCCCCAAACCGGTTCCCTGGGCACTCGCCCGACCCACCTACCCACCCAGTCACTCCTCACCTCCCTAACCCTGCCTAAGCTGCCACGTGGTGCCTGCCCTGCACCCCAACTGAGCTGCCTCCTCTTGCCTACAAGTAAGTCTCACTACCCCCCTCCCCTGAGTTTGCTGTGCCTCTCTCCCACCATCCACACTGGGCTCGCAACTTTACCTTCCCCCGCCCCTTCCAGGATCTCGCCGCATCCATTTTGGTTCCCAGGGGGCTTCAGGGAGGCCTGCTAGGCCCAAAATAGGGCATGGGGGTATCTATCAAGCCTCCCTGCATCCCCCTGGGAGCAAAAACAGGCTGGGGGGGCTTTAAGGAAGAAAGAAAGAAATCCTCACCATTTGGGGATCCCCAAATGCATGGAGCAGAGGTCTTCGAGCTTGACAACTTTAAAACTTGTGGACTTCAACTTAATAACTTAATCAAAGAACTACCAACTCAGATTAAAAAAAATAAAATGGGGATCAACAGCCTAATCAAGGAACTATGAAGGAAAAACTCATACCCCCACCAACACTAACAGGCCAAGCTCTAACGAGAGATCAAGCCTCACTCTTTCTAGCAGTGAAGATGCTATCTAATGAAATGTCTGCATAAAATAGCCAAGCTCAAAGAGCAACAAGGACTTCACTTTGAAGCCTTAGAATCACATGAGCTCCAGAATATTATTTATGTGAACTTCTCAGGTTCCCTTTAACTCTTGGAAATGTATGAAAATGGTAGTAGAAACCCTAATGTAGTATTTAATATAGCTTAGAAGTAAAAGAAAGGGCATATTTTCCAAAAATTCATAGGGAAAAGTCTTAGATTCATCTTTTTATCCCTTTCCTGCTCGTTTTATCCCTTTTTGCCCTTTACCACAAACGAAAAAATAAGTGCCGTTCTCTGACACCGAGATATGTAACATGATTAGACCAATATATTTTTGTCGAGGCTTTTCTGAGTTTAGCTTCACTAGATCATATTTTTCAAGGTGTTGTGTTAACCATTTCTCAGAAACATTACAAATCTATAAACCAGGATGACCTTGCATTCTCTTAAGTTTTCCAATGTGAGGCAGAACTATGCTAAGCTAGTTTGCTTTTTATTTCTCCTGAAACCTTCACAAGCATGTTTTCTTCATTTTTTTCTCTAGATAAAAAATTATGTGGGTCTTGCAATTAAGAATGGAAACCTGGTCTATGTTTATAATTTGGGTGCTGGTGATGTGAATATACCTTTAGATTCCAAGCCAATCAGCTCTTGGCCTGCACATTTCAATCTGGTTAAAATAGAGAGGTAATGTGATTACATCTGCTGCTTTTATTATGTATTCCTTATATGATTGGCTTAGAAAAACTCAGGACAATGTAGACGCTTGGAGAAACTGTTAATAGTGTTAATTGTACTTATTAACAACCTGGCAAAATAGGTCTCCCTACTTATTGTAATTAGTATTCACTGCTGAATTATCACTGCTACTTAATTATCCCTGATGATTGCCTAAACAAAAGGAAAGGAAAAGAATATTTTTCTTTAAAAACCCTACCTGTTCTGGGCCCCTCCGTCCGGTAATGAACGCAGACACAGGCTTAGCTGTTTGCCANGAGAAGAGCAATAAAGATGATTAGGGGACTGGAGACTAAAACATATGAAGAATGGTTGCAGGAACTGGGTATGTCTAGTTTAATGAAAAGAAGGATTAGGTGTGACATGATAGCAATAGTCCAATATCTCAGGGGTTGCTACAAAGAAGAGGGAGTCAAACTATTCACCAAGGCACCTGAAGGCAGGACAAAAAGCAATGGATGAAAACTAATCAAGAAGAGAAACAACCTAAAACTAAGGAGGAATTTTCCGACAGAACAATTAATCAGTGGGACAACTTGCCTCCAGAATGAATGCTCCAACACTGGAAGTTTTTAAGAAGAGATTGGGCAACCATTTGTCTAAAATAGTATAGTGTTTCCTGCCTGTGGGTTGGACTATAAAACCAAGGTTTCTTCCAATTCTGTTATTCTGTTATTATCTGCTAGCTTCTTTGCTATGTTGAAGCAATGCAATCCTTCATGAGGCCCAACAACAAATACAATTCCTCCAAGGAGCAATTATCATTAATAGATTGTGAGTCTTCCAGAGTTTGGTACAAGATTGGCAGCTATATAAATGTTTTAATAAGCCAGTCAAAGATCATGTACCCTGTATACATTAAAAACATTCATAAAACATTGTTTTATGTCAGTTTCTAAACTCTTCAAACATTGCATAATTGCTGCATAGATTAGTAATTGTTTTGAGTTGGAGCCAGATCTTTCATGAATAGAAATCTGGTCAAAGCTCTTTTTGCTAGAATAGGGATGCATTTGTAACTAAGCGTTACCAATTTTATTTCTGCTGCCTCCTTTCTCCTCAAGAACGAAATTTGGAGGATTAAACTACCTTTTACAATAGAATGGAAGGAAACACTCAGGACTGCAGAATAAAGTAGTAATCTAGTGAAATGCTACTGTATTTTGACTCTTCAAACAGAATGCATTTTCTATTTAAGGAAAGGCAAATCCAACATTGTGATGTTGTGAGCAAAATTCATCGGCCCTTTCCTTAATGTCAATATGAAATCCATTACAAACGCTCAAGCAGTATGTTTCATCCAATCCACTGGAAGAAAGTGATTGCCTCATAAATACAAGATGCAACTAATTGTGCTTCCAGACCGATATCTTTTAATACTACCAATCAAAAGACATCATGCAGCTGCTCCCGCTTTTTCTCATAAGATTATTTATGGACGAGATAAAAGTAGAAGAAGCAAATAGAACAACAGAGGATTATAAATGAAAGCCTTTATCTGAATTCCCCATAACTTCTATGACTGGGACAGGTTTATTATATAATAGTAGCCTCATCTGGAAACTCCAAGTGTTTATATTCATGATGTCTAATGTTGACTCTCTCTCTCTCTCTCTCTCCCACCCTCCCTCCCTCTCTCCCACCCTCCCTCCCTCTCTCCCA